CATTATATATATATACATATATATATATATATATATATATATATGTATACACTGTTATTTTTACTGTTATTTTAGCTGTGTCATAAATTATGCGCGTGCGAAAATATTTACAATAATACACAATCTCAGTTAATCCATCCGTGGCTGTATGCGTACTTTCGAGCCATAAATATCCTTATCCGAATAACAAGTGACGAATAAAAGAAACTAGTATTATATATTCACTTCGTTTATTCTTTACTGCATAAATGTTATAAATTATGATGATAATTAATGATTGAAGTTTCAAAGAAATATGTCTACGTTTAGTTACGTGTGATGAAAAATCTAAGACATTTTGATCAATGGCCATGTCCTTGAAAGTCGAGACGTTTGAACATGTTGTATTTAACATAAATACAATATTTTACATTTTTTAAATGTAGAAAGCATTACGTAAAACATGCCTTGTGTATTATAATACATTTAGAACGTCTCTTATGTAATATACATGCATACAAGCATACTTTCTATAATACTTTAAAGTCAAAATTAGCTAAAGACTGTATGTTAAAGGTCGTATAGAAAATGTACTTAAAAAAGTATATTGTTTTTTTTTTCTGAAGTACTAGAACAGTTAACATAAGAACTTTTTCGACTTTGTTATCAGAAAATGTGAGACTACGTACGTAAGGTAATATGCTTTCGATGCTGAGTCAGCCAATTATTTTTGTTTTATAATTGCGTCGTAAGTGTAATACAATAGTATATATCCATAATTTGGCAAGATAAAAAGAAGTATAAAATATTTTGTCTGTTAATGAGTATTATCTATTAATGACTATTCCCATCAATGGAACAAATGATAAACGTCATATGTTAAACGTATTAAAAGTGTATATTATACATGTTACATATAGTTTTCTCTCTTCCATTAAATTATATATTTATACTGCGTTAAAATACATATAATCTAGGTATAATTGTTTTTAAATACAACAATGCTAATCGTCAATTATTGCTCGTTATCTATATGTTCTTTCTTTTTAAATAAACTATGTACATATAATTACACAGTTTGTACTTTAAATTATTTAGTATTCTTGTATATTTCTAGAAAAAATAACATTTGTTATCTTTTTATACATAAATATTCGTTATAGTAAAATGTAAAATTTGATATAAAAAAATTTATATTTCAAAGAAGGAAAAATAATGCGCGTAAATATCTTTGCAGATCTCTCATTGCAGCAATATTAAATTATAACATCAAATATGAAAAATTGAATACATTTTCCTTGCGCATCGGAATAAATGAATACCTTCCCATCACATTCATGTTTGATAATACAAATCAGTAATAAACTTTTTCTTATCTTGTGTAAAATAGACTTGCGTCGAGATATTTAAATAATCGAATATTTTCGGAATTTACAAAGTTAGTCACAATTCATAATAATCTGTCAATTATATGTATATTCGTCTCTTTTAATAAAATTTTTTCTTTTTTTTTTCGAAATTCCAGGCGATGGTAGCTTGTTATCCTGGTCACGGTTCACATTATGTGAAACATGTGGATAATCCTAACCGAGACGGACGTTGTATCACAGCCATTTATTATCTTAATCGAGATTGGGACGTTAAGGTGAAATTTTATATATGTATTAATTTATTTTTAATTGTTAATTACAAATCTAATAAAATAATTTATCACGATAGAAATTTATAAATAATTACGCATTTTTTATTGTACGCAGGAGAATGGCGGACTTTTGAGGATATTTCCTGAAGGATGGCGCGATCAAGTAGCAAACATAGAACCTTTGTTTGACAGGATATTATTTTTCTGGTCGGACAGGCGAAATCCGCATGAAGTGCAACCAGCGTTCAAAACGAGATATGCCATTACGCTTTGGTATTTCGACGCCGAAGAAAGAAATCAGGCTTGCCGAAGATATCAAAGAGAAAGTACGTAAACAATTGCATTGGCTATTTTTTTCTATTTTTTCCCCGATATAGTTAACAATTTTTACAGAAAATATCAATACTAATTTTCAGCTAAGCTATAATTCGTAATATTAAAATATATTTTATAATATTAAATAAAATTAGAATAAAACATTGCTATTTTTATCTTTTTTCTACGTTGTTTAATCGTATTAATAAAAAATTAAAATCGTAATTTCGATCACTACGAGGTGGCTTTTTGCATTTTCTATTTTGTGAATTACATGAACACTGTTTATAAATATAATTTCTTTTAGGAGAACTACATACGAAAAATAATGGTTCGTGAGATACAGAACATGAAGGATTATTACGCCGTCCGTTTGGACTGAAGTTATACTTGTACATAAAATATATGTATTAAAATAAAATATTATGTATTATTATGTATTATGATAATTTTTGCAGGAGGAATTGAATAACGTACGAAGAAAATTACGAAAATAATGTGTTTACAAGGAAGTGCAATAGACGTAAGAGTGTACTTTTTTTTTACAGATAGCACTGTAATATATGTGATGAGTTAATGTGTGTAGTTGCAATTTATGCTTTCATGTGTGTGTATGTGCGTGCGTGTGTGTGTGTGTACACACAAATATACACATACACACGTAATCCTTTATTTCGATTTCTGAGATTCTACATGTTCGCACTTTTTAACTTGATATTTAAAATATTAAATTTACTTCCTAAATGTTTTGAAGAAAACTTATATTTGTGTCGATCATTAACTTCCGTTATGTAAAGTATTAACAATATTTAGAGCATGTTGCATTTGAAATATTTTATAAGCGAAACCATAGAATATAATATACAAAAAATTTCTTCCAGGAAATCATTATTAATTTACTTTGATTTTTTAAGTAAATTTGTTTCCGTAATATCCGTATGCGCTATATTTTTTAGCATCAAAGCAACTAGTTGCTAAAGGATAAAATTATATTGCTCACACAAGGTGTTAGTATTATCATGTTGTAATATTACGATTGGACATTAACAACTTTTTACGCTTAAAAAACGTATTTGATTTATTACGGGCAGTAATTGACTTATACTTCCAGCGCAACAAAATTGAAATAAATTGGGGCCCAGTCTGTACCTGTATAATGTTATGTATATTGCAAAACGATAGAAACACTGTGTTTAATATTCTATGTACCTATTTATATGAATTAATGGGAAGAAGTAAGCATACCATCTGCGTCCTATTCAAATTTGATACATATTTCTGTCACCCTTTCTAATGTAGGAGATAGAAAATCAGGTAATTAGAAAAAGATATGTTCATGATCAGAGGCGTGCTTCGGTTACCTCTAGCTTTGGCACACATTGCACATAGATGCATATGCTCACTAGGCACGCCCCTGTTCACGAAGTTATAAGTATATTCCTAAAAATTGAAATTGTTTCAATATTTCCTACTGTATTATTGGACACAGAAGATTAATTGTAAGAAATCATCTAGAAGTCCTTTTCATAATTAAATTATTTTTGTCCTATGATATTAATTTGTTTCGACGTTTATATAGACGTTTATATGTACGAAAATTATAATTTAAGGACTTATTATCAGCGCGTTTTCGAAATATTGTAAAAATAAACAAGATTTTGTTATCAAAGCGAAATAAATACACAAACTTATAAAAGAATCATTCATGTATTAATACTCAGTGTAACTCTATACAATGTCTATGAAGAAAATTGCTATGGTTTTTCATATAATTACCTTCTTGATTTAAGTAACATTAGTGTCGTTTGGAAGTTGACAATCTTGAATTTGATTAATGGCAGGCACATAAGATTGAAATGAAAAATTGTTTTTCGCAAACATTCCGGGATTTATCACATAACAATCAGAATAGTTAGTCGTATATGTTTCAAAATTGTCAGCAATCACAATGAGATCTGGTGTTGGAAATATTTGTAAAGCATGGTCATATTTCCAATATACTGGAACAACTTGAAGAGGCACTGGGGTCAGATGTGATTGACTGATGATGGATTTGGCAAACTGAAATTTGTGATAAATATTGATATTATATATATATATATATATATATAGCCTACTTTGTCAGTTTTGGAGCCCATTTTGTCAGGCGCTCATTTTTGCATAACTTACGAAAAACTTAATTATTGCAAAATTGCAAACAG